ATGCTTGTTTCTAAAACTGAATAAAGATTTTTTTTGGTATTCTACATGTTCTACAGCAAATTGTATTTATTGTACAAGTTTTGCCAGCTAAGCTACCTCTTTAAACAAGACATACTGCAGGTAGTCTTGAAAGACAAGGTATTTCTGTTAAAGTCATGGTACAGTCAGTATTCGGCTAAGAAAGCAGTAGCACTAAGAGAACAGGCAGGCTTCAGCACATTTCCCAGGAGTTAAAGGGCACTAATACCATGCACCAACTGTCTCACTGCTTGGTCTGAAGGCCCTCTAGCCCCAACTTCTCCCAGGAAGCCCTCTCCCCCCACCCCAGCTCTCAGGTCTGGCACAGTGGGCCCAGGCACCTGAATGCTGCTCCCCCACAGTAGACATGGAACAACTGCAATGTGACTTCAGGCCTTAATGTCTCTCTACTCCTGCCTGTCCTTTAGTGCTTATGGCTGTAAAGCTAGATGAAGTGCACCTAACTTCCTTCTGTCTACCTTTCAGTGCTAAAGACCCCACTGACAGTCTCTTTCTAGGGAAGAGATTGAAAACACATTTTTGCAAGAGATCTATATGCTTCAGAAGCTAACAATGCTTAAAAAGACCAAAAGAAGCCCAGAGATGTTTCTGTACAAACTGAATTCTGTATTTGCTCTTCTCATCCCCCAGAACACAAGGCAATTCAGGCTAAAAGACACAGCTAGCCTATATCTTGTCATCAGTCTCTTCCAGCTAGGAATCTTAGGGCTCAAATGTTTCCCAGCTGCCACAGAACCTTAAAAAGGAATATTATTAAAAAACAGTTGCTCTGTGCAACTCATTTGTTTGCATTTGCATTCTGCAGGCTCTAAGAATTTAGGTACTAAAAAGCTGATGAAGAAAAATGGTGCCCTTTAGTTTATAATAAAGGCATAGAGTGAAAAAGCACCAGTTAGTCCTAGCTGTCTCCTCTTTCTCTGTAAAGGCTAGTAGCACCCAGGACTGATGACACTTGCAAGATTATACTCTTAAATTTGCAAGATAATTTCTAAAGATGAACCTTTGTGTTTGTCTCCCTAAGCTACCTCTTTTTTTCCAAAGATTTTTTTTTTAAAAGACATTTTACAAAGGCTCCAGAAGGCATAGCATTTCAGACAGTGCCGGTCTGAATTTAGGCTCTATTTTTTCCCCTTAAGTGATTTCTGAGGAAAGCCAGTCATTGGGGAAAGGGTAGCAGGAAAGAACCCATAGAAGAGTTCTTCCAAGATGTATGTTTCAGAAACATAGGAGAAGATCAGCTCTCAGATTTGTAACTAATCTAGCTTTAGTCTACACCAATCTTTATACTGGTAGTACCTATCAGAAACCAGTATCATTTACTCTCCATGAAGGGATAGGACATGGGAAGAGCAGGCAGCCAGCAAAGTCAGAGTTAGTGGGTTTTGAAATCACCAGGCAGAGTCCACAAGGGCCCTGTAGTGAAAAAATCTGAGCCCCAAATACTACAGTACAAGCAGTCAAGGCACTGTGTCACTTATTTTTATTCACATATACAAGTTGACACTACACTATTACATACAATACAGAAGCTTTAAAAACCAAATACTATTAAAAACTCTTAAAAATCACATATTGCTTCAAGCTTAGATGGTATTTCCCTATAGTTTTTAAAGTGAATTCAGTGCTAACAATAGCTGAGGCAGCTTCCTACTCCCTTCTACCCCCTAGTCTTTTGGGGCTACCATCAGGGTCTTGAGTCAGGCTCCATGTATGGCTTTGCTGCTGCATGCACTAACTGAGCTGGGAACTAAACTGGAATATGCAGGTTACTGCATGTAGGCCCTCAGATTGCTAGCTTTTGGTCCCTGTCCTGGTTAAAAAAAAAACAAGTCTGAGGCCTTTAGTTCAGAGCCAGTGCATTACACCGTATAAAAAAAGAGGGCAGATGTATTTCCCTGCAAGCTAGAAAAATTGATTAAAAGGTGCATCTGCTACCTGCATAAAGTTCTTTACCAAAAATTCAGGACTGTCCCTCCCAGGTTTAAGTTTGTCTCTAGATTTAAAGTGTCACCTTGACTATCTTAGCTTCCAGTGAAGAAATCTAACTTATAGTTGTGAAGATGTGATTGCGCAAGCATGCTACTCTATTTTACAGGGACATTCTTATGCAGTTTTCATTGCAACATTTTACATTGTAAACACTAGTCTTCACAACACAATAGTTAAATTGCAGCGTTACACACTGTGAAAGACTTAAGTTTCACTAAGCCAAGTGCTTTCAGAAACTGAAAGGAACAGACAAGAATGGTTCTAATGAAGACTTTGGACAACCAAATATTTACTGTGTTATTCTGAACAAAGTCTTGCTTTTAAAACAGGAGTGAGAAGCATTTATCACATGGCTGAATTCAAGAGTTCATGCAAGACAAAGTCCAGAACTTTCATTAGGTAAATCTTCACTAGCTTTCCCATTTTTGAATGGGTGATTTGATGCACAACAGCCTTATTTCTCTGTTAAAAGTCTAAAGAATAGAGTTAAAGCTTTTATACTTGAAATGGTTTACTTTCCAAGTCGATTAGCTTTTTGTCAGGATTCACATCAAAACACTAATAGCTTTTTTCCAGACTTCACTCTGTCACATGCCAAATATTTTGTATACGCAACTTAGCGGTGATCAGGACGGTACTACTTCACATATTCAAAGCAAACCTGCTAGCCTTATGTTTAAGAGTCAAATAATTCCCAAATATGGGAAATACAGGAAAGCTACCTGATCTGCAAAATAATTTGCCCCTCACTTCAAGCTTTATAGTACTTAAATCAAGAGAGTACCAGCGTAGCACTCAAGATTATTTTTAGCTACCGACTATTTAAAAGCATGACAGTGACTCACAGGATCCCATTAGCATCACTACTGCCTTCTAGGAAGTTTTTGATAGGGGACAGATTTTGACCAGACAAATTAAGGATAAGAACTCCTAAAACGCTCCTCAGCACCCAGCAGCCCTCATGCGGTTAAGGATTCTCATGCTCTACAGAACACCTGAACACCTATTTGAGATGGCTCAAGTTTGGTACCCTGTATCCAAGGCAGAAGACATTTAGATCTCCTGTGATCACTGAGAAGGCTGACATCTAGCAGGAGATCCCTCTTATGCTAAAATAGGTACTTAAGGTAGGTAGGCACACGGTCTTCTAGGCTCCTCCATTCTCAGCAGAGAGACACAACTCTAGAAGCTCTTTCGAAAGCAGGGCAAGATGAGTTGTGCCCCACACAAGAGTTATTAACTTAGATAAAGGCATTAAGGGCAGAGCCCAGTTGCTATGGTTACATACATTAAAAGTCTACAAAGTCAGAGCTGTATACGGTATTCTGGGCTACAGTAACAGGCAGTTCATTCAACAGGGCTATTAAATATTGCTTGCTAGTGTTCTGCCACTACTGTTCAAAGCTAAATTGGATTTCTGAAATGAAACAGTGTCAGGAACAACTTGATGATATTTATAGCAGTTATATAAAGAAAAAACAGCATACTGGACAATAAGAAAAATCTCAGATTGAATAAAGACATCCAAGCTGAATAGTTAACCTCAGCTTTGGGTACTGGTCTGAAGTCTTACATTTAGTTAAGTGATGGCATATAGTCATATTTTATGTGTAAGCATACTTTTAATCATACTTTGCCTTCTAGCAATATTAAAGCTTTTTTAAAGTCTGGGAAAGCGCCTAAACAAAGTTATGTTTAGATTTTTGTAGTTTTATGCTTAAAAGGCAGGGGAAAAAAAATCAGGTTGTAATTTCATGGCATCTGGGACAGCTTAGTAAGATTACAGCAGAAATTAATCATTAATACTGGAAGGCAGCAGTGTTGGTCCCTCTACTTATTTTCAGTTAGCCTTTCAATAATACAACTATCAAACTTTTCACTAAGCATTTAACTCTATCCCTGTTTGCAATAGTAAATCTAGAATCCTGGTTATTCACCATTCAATGAAACTAAGACTGGTCCAGGCTTCTACTGCAGAAGTGCAGTGGTGCTTCTTGAGAAGTTCAGAGTTTAGTCTATGTTTAAAAAAAAAAAACTTCAAAACTATTAAAATAAGGTAACACACAGCACATTTCAACAGAACTTTGAAGCTCACAACTACAACAGTGATCTATCTAGAGCTCAGTTACCAAACTGAAAAAGTTCATTTACAGCAGCTTGAGGAGAAAAAACACTGACGATCTGACAAATGACTGTTCTACTATATAAAAATAAAGAAAACGTTCACACTCCATCATATACTGTGAATTACTAAGGGTACCTTTCCTGCCTCTCCTGATCCCCACCCCCTCCACCATGAGGGGTTCTGCACCAATTTTGAGAGGCAGAAAGCATCTCAGAACTTCATCTACAACTTTTATGAAAATGCTTTTCAAATTTAAAACCTCTAGCAGTATACTCATTATACAATACCACCAAATGGAATGCATATTGCACTCTGACCCCACTGAGCATAGAAGGATATTCATACATGTTAAAAATGGACTTCACTACACAGAAGCCAACCTTCTCCATTGATAAGCTGTCATTTAAATGATTAAGCACAAAATAAGTGTGACCACAGGCTTACAGTGATGCCAAGTTGATATCGGTAGAACAAACAACTGCTTATTGAGCATCAGCTATCAAATAATGATTGTCTACATCAGTCATTTGGTACAATAGTTACAGCAATTCAAAGTAATCCTACAGCTGTTCCTTGCTCTGAAAATAAATGGTCCCAAGACTGGCAAGTAATTTATTCCAATTACCTTAAAAATAGCAATAAAAAAATAAGAAAATATCAGCAGATTCACCAAACAAGTTTTTTTTTTTTTTGAAAGGTTCTATATACAGGACACACTTGGCAGTTATCTACATAAAGCATCCACATTTATTAGTGCTGCTTACCAGACCCACTGTCTTTCCTGTTATGTGTCTTGATCTACTTATTTTGGCAGAAGTGTTGAATCAATTAGTATTATAAATGCAAAGGCTCCTCCATCACACCTTTAAAGCCTTCCCCCAACACCACCTCCTGATCATTTGGAGGACTTAGGAACTTTTAAGTTAAGGGACAACAAATTATTTGTAACCAAGGTCAAGAAAATGTTTGCTTAGGCTGCCAGTACTCCAAGGTTCTCCTCCCACCTCCAGAGGAGGCCCTAAAACTTATTAGAAAGATTCCCAAAAGGGGAACCGTTTAAAAATTTGGGTCACTATATCTAAAAGCTTCTTCAAATGTTATGGCTCCAACTATACACCCCACTGTGAGGTAGGTAGCCAAGATACAAATATTGTTAACAAACAGCTGGAAACTCCCTATAAAAACCTTGCATAAATAGTTTGGTTCCTTGCACCAGTGTCCTGATATGCTTAACTTTTTTGAAGATGCTTAAGGAAATCATAATTCACCGAGCTCGTGCCGAGTAGCATCTCATGTACTCTGTCATCCAGGGGTTATCTGGTGGGGAAGGCTTTACTCGCCAAGCTTTCTCCACTTCTGCAGATCGTACTCGCCTCTGAGAAAGTTTCCTTTTCTCCACTTGTCTCCTGTTCTTTGCTCGTAGGGCAGATTCGTGAATCTAGAAGACCAGAGTTAGCGTTACACTAGGAAAACAGCCTAGGATCCCCCAAAGCAAGATGAGGGTCACTTCCTAATCCCAACCCCTCCCATCCTGAAGAAACAGGGTTTGGCAACAAGGTTGCATTTTCTTCTTCCTACCACTAACAGGAGAAAAGCACAGAATTGTGGGGGGAAAGCCTCAACTTCAATTCTGCACTCTCTCCCCTACTTCATGCTATTAAAAAGCGATTCTAAAGATCTTGAATGTTTCTTTGCACCTTAAGTTCTGACACTTTTTAAAACCTTGTTTCTCCTGTTTTTACCATTTTAGTTCTTAAATTCTTAAACATTCCTCAATATGACCAAGAATTCTTTACTAAGCCATAGCAGTAAAACTAATCCTTAGTGTCCTGTAAGGAGCTGCTAAAGAACTACTTAAGATAGGATGCTATAAGAATGCTTGCACACTTTCTATATTACATTATCACATTTTTCCCAAATTCAGTTTTAAGAAGAGACACCTCCTATGTTCACTTGCTTCCATCTCCAGAAGACTTGATTAACGAGTCTCCCATCTCGATTAGGGGAGAGTAACACCTTTGAAGCATTCAAGAAAAGCGTCCTATCCAGGGGGTAAGTAGTCAGTTCCCACCTAAAGAAGCATCCCTATTGACAAAGCACTATGCAAACGGTTTGCATAACTGCAAGTATTTCAGAAGTGTCCTGTCCTTGCACTCCAGACTTGAGGCCTTATATCTTGGAGGTTTTGTAGCTTTGTTTCTAGCAGAAGAAATGTTAAGTCTTTGAAAGCAAGAACAGTGGTCAAAACAGTTGTCAGCTGTTGCTAAGCTTCAAAGCATTGCTCAACTATTTCCAACATTGACCAAAGCTTATCAGTCCATAATAAATGGTGTCCCTTATCAGAATGGGCAGCTTCTCTCAGGAATTAGTAATGCCTTAAGTTCGTCATTTCTCTCAGAGATGAGCTATCCAGGAAGGGAAAGACTCTACTACTTCAAGCCCTTTGCAAAAACTGCTTATCAGCAGTCAGCTGCATCTTATACATCAAGAACACCATCCTCCTTATTCCTCAGTATCATTGATTCAGAGTCCAGATTAGCAGTAAGAAAACACGACACAGGCAGGGACACATTACTGATTACACTACCAGCCTAGGAGAGCTCTAGAAAAGAAAGAAATGGAGTTCTTGTAACACTAAACTTAATGTTTCTTGCTAAGTAAACAACCTGCTGTGCTAGAGTTCTCATACCATGCACAACTATGTGAATTTTAATTGTGTTATTTTGCTAGTGTCTATACCAACCATGCAATGCACCAGACATCTGATGGAGTTTTCTGCTGTCAAAATTCCCCATTGTCATCCCACGGAACCAGGCTGCTAGACAGACATTTTAGCAGCAAAACATTCATACCTTCTCAGTGAAGCTCCTGTTCCCAGAGAGTGCCTCAGGAAAGTCACTCTTCCACAGCTTAAACACTACCCCTGTTTATATACCTGTCTGCCTGCTTTGGGATGCTTGGTGCTAACTGCCTGATGCTTTTCTCTTGTTGGCATGAGGTTCAGAATGCAGAAATACATTTATAACAGCCAGTTTTGCTGGTAGCACTGTAACAGCCAGAAACAAGATAACCAGGCATTAATCAGAATTTGCAAGTACTGGTCAAACATGAAGTCTCAAAACAGATTAGCAGTTAAAAGCTATTGGATTTGCACACGTGAAACATCTTCAAGTTTATTGCTATAGTAATTATTGACGTAGGAATATTAATGACAACGCTGTACTGTCAGTCCTATCAACAGCTAAAATATGCTTCTCTTAACTGCTTCCTCTGCTTCTTCCTCCATGCCTAATGCAAGCTCTTGAACACATCTAGAAATGTTAACTCTCTAGTGAGAAACGCATTAGCAACTTCCAACAAGGACCACAAGTTATAGCTGTATCACTGGAAAAAACAGATACCTGCTCTAACTAGTATGAAAGCCCATATCTAATGTTTAATGAAATTAAATGACCTTGATCACAGCTGTACCAAGGCATTCTTGTCGTACTCATTTTAACTCATGTTATTATCATTTTTCCTGCAACACTGGCAGTCAAAGCTAATAGGCAGATGTGCTCCTTGTCTACTAAGGACTCTGAATTTCCTAGGTTTAGGGAGTTCTACGTGTCCTGGAAGATTTCATGCATTCAGGCCTCCACTGCACACTTTCAGCATTAGCAGGCTGTAATTAGAACTACTGCTGTCTCCATTTTGATGTGGAGAAAGTGCAAAAGCCATTTGTTTCTTCAGAAAAAGATTTCTGATCACCACCTTAGTCCTCAAGGCAAAAAGCTGAGGACTCAACTAGATACTAGGGAAAACCGGCCATCTTCAGGAAAGAGGGATTAGCAGGGTGAAACTAGGCATCCAGATATATGGGTTCTGTTCTTGAACACTGTGAAAGCCTTTTCCCCAGATACCCTACTGCCTAAGGGCTACCTAGAAGAATTCACTTGCATATAGCTCAGGTCTTAAAGCTGGAGGAAAGACCAAGTCTCAAAGGACTCAAGTGGAAGAAGCCCCTAACTCACTGCTCCTGCATAATACAGTACAATAAGCTAGTGCTTACAAGACATTATCACCCACAGCAAAACACACATGCTGTGGAAGTCCTCACAATTCCCTGCAAGTTCACAAATAAAAGCATCCGTAAGAAGTTTTGCCGAGACGTTAGACACTTTTAGCCTGCAGATACAACAGTATAAGTACAGCAGCAGTTTAAAAAATGAGAAGCTTTCACTTACTTCGTTCACTGAAGCAGAAGCACAGACATTGTGAGTTTTCTGGCTTCCAGTATCTGTCTGTCTTTCTCCCCACCCATACAGAGCAAAGGGATGTTTATTCTCCTTTGGTGCATCGGTCTTTTGAGGACTTTTGGCTGACCTTCGATCATTGCGACTGGACAAGGCACTTCGACTCTGATGTCGTCCTGTACGGCTGGTTTTGTCCGTTTCCTTTACGGAAGCGTGTTCTACAGTTTTTTCTTGTTCTTCCTGCTGCTGCTTTTCTTGATCATCTCTCTCTTTTTCTAAAGAAAAATAAAGTTATGCTTTAAATATGTTGACATTGGAAACTTACCGTCTGATCTGCAGAGCCTCTCTTGATATATCATGGCCGTTGTTTTTAGAAATGTAAGAGGAGGTCACTAATTTTTCCTGAACGCTTCTCCCTACATAAAAAATTCAGGTCTTAGGTCTAAGGTGAAAGAAGCAAATAGCTGATTTAGCACTGCAACACTTCATAAATCAAAGAGCAGTAAGAATTTGATGCTTTACAGCTCATTAGTTTTACAATAAAGTGATAAGTTGTTTTGAACAAGTCTGATTTATAACTTTTAAATAAGTAGTCAAGTGAGTGCCCAGGACGGGAACGACTGACTAGAGAAAAAAAAGGTCAAAGATTTTTGCCACCTTTGAGATTTGTAAGATGTTCGGAATTGGCAACAAGAGGTCTTTAGTCTGTTAATACCAACAAAATATTCTTCTTATGGGATTTTAGTGAAACGTTACTCCAGAAAAAAAGCAAATACACAGAACCCTATTTTAGTTCTCCATACTGCAAATCTTCACCAGTAATCTGTACAACTTGGAGAAGGGTGCTAGACTTTGAGCATGACCCGAAAGCATCATGGGCACAGGCAAGGCATTGTGATCTGAAATCTTTCCATGACTTCTAAGCCAAGTATGCCTTTTGTTTAAAACATAGCTAAATCCTACTAGGCTGCGCAGTTATTAGAAGTAGTCCACTAATAAGTAACCTGCCTTCTCAAGCATCCTCCTTTGGGCGGTAGACGCTGCCTTCCACTGGCTGCACACGTTGTGGGGCATTCAAACTCTGCTCACATAAGCATGCTGAACACAGGAGGGTGTTCTGCCACACCATCTATTTCTTATTCTTCAGGAGGCCACCACTGTACAAAAGTGGAGAAGGGGGCCTATCCTCAACTGAGAGGCTGGAGGTAAGATACACTTGAGAGCAAAACTTTCTTTCAGACTCTTCTGCAGGAGTTAACTATTTAACCCAGAGGTAGAAATCATCCCATTAGCGTTTCAGAACACTCTGCTTCTTTTAGCAAAAATCATGTTTCCTTTTTTAAAGCACAGTAGGAGAGATGCTTTCTAAAAAAGGCACTCATTTGAGGAAAATACCTGCAAACTGCTTTATAAGGTTAGATGGTTGTGGCCAGACTGTCTCCTGGCAGCCTGGCAATGCAGTCACTGAAGAAAAGTAGGGTCCTGTTGCAAGCTACTTCTCTGCTCCAACTCTCAGCATCTTCAGCCAACACTGGCATACACAGGTATAGAAGGAGGAATTCATCTAGTTTAAGGCGTGGCTATATATCGAGAGACTGACCACCAACAAAACAACTGGAACAAGTTTTAATCGAGTATCTTCATAAGCAGAAGGGCTTGTCCATCCTGTGATACAGCAGCGATCATTCATGCTAGTTGCCACAATTTAACCAGTCAAGCAAGTGCATGCCCCATATACACTGCTTTAATTCTATGTGGCATCCACCCAGCCCTGCTGAAGTGGAAGTTACCATGGCAGGCTGGTTAAGCATCTAGTGGTGCATTACTCTGACACTCACTCTGCCCTTGGGTGAGAAGGGGACTAAGACTAGGGGAATTCTGGGGCATGCAGTGAAGGCAAGGCCCATGCTTTCTCTTGCTAGCTGTTAATCTTGCTAGCAGGTTTGCCACTTGCTGCCAGCCAGCACAGAGATCCTGGTGCTGGACACTGTCCAGGCTAGTCTATACACACTTGCCTTCCAACCTGTGCAGGTACAGCATTTGGCTACAGATGCTACTGCAGTATGGCTAAGTATGTCACAAAAGCTAGCTAGCAGTGCTATAGCACTGAGAGCTCTATTTGTTAGAGTTCAATCAAGCGTCTCTGAAACAAGAGAAGAGTAGCCAGGGCCAAGTGAGTAGAGAAGGGAGAGCAAAATCAGTGCAAGCTCAGATAAGCAAAAAAGCGACCAGAGGAATTTCCAGTACCTCAATAACGGGTGCGAAAAGTTTTTCGGCCGTTATTGCCTTCTTGCTTTTTATCCAGCCTCGGCTAACTAAATGACCTCAACATGGTAACCTCTAGCAAGAGGGCTCCTTCATCACAGCTACAAGAGGCAATACACATATTCCTTTGCAAAACGCACTTTATGTTTCTCTGTACAGCCTGTTCCTGAGAAAGGACTGGCTACATCACCTTCGGGGGGGGGCGAAATGATGGGCACAAAGCCTTGCTCCAAAGGGAGTTCATGTCAGAAGGAGGCACGCCACTGAAAAGTTTCAGAAAATAAGATGCTGAAGGAAGACGAATTCTTTTGTTGTCAATTTTGAAACAGAACGGTTTTCTTTTGGGAAGCCACTCCTTCCTCCCTTAAAGGGAAAACTGCACCTTCCTTTTCCACAGAAGAGGAGCGCTAGAGTTGGTGAGCAACAGTGATGGCACTTGAAGACTTCAAATTAACGGAAAGTAGAATATACATTCAATTGCAGAGCTCCTAGCACTGAGATACTACTTCAAGGCAAGTAACAGACAAGCCTGATGCTACTCACTGGGATATCATCTCAGCTGGTGTAGACATAATTTGAGCCAGCTTGTGCCAAAATAGCAATAGAGCATATGGGTAAATGGCAGAGTGCTACACAGTTTTACAGTAAACGCTGCATGTCTGAGCATACCCTAGCACCTTATTAAATATCTACTCTGATATCAGGTTTTCACAAGTTCACTCCTACAGTTTTTAAAGATATTTTCACAAACTGAGTTCTGTAACTGATTTTTTAAAATATTTTTCTAGATCTTTTATCTAAAACTACAGCTGATATCTAACCTATTTTATTAGGCATTCTTTTCACAGGAAGGTAGCAAAACAGCAGTTAATAGCAGAGAAGGAGTTAAATTCAGCTGCCCAGGAAGCACAACCATCAGCAACACCTACCCATCTCTCCCGTGCAATATGCCAGCTGAAGCAGGCACTGCTAAGTGCAGTAGCACGTGCTGTGAATAGAACAGAAAACTCAGAACTGACTGTGGCATTACAGGGATTAGACAGGCTAGAGAAAAAGCTATGAACATGTTAAAACTGCATCATGGATGCTAAGTGGAACACACTGGCCAGGAGGGGATTAAGTGCTTAGCAGGCAGAACACCACTGCCAGGCCCACCCAACACAGCCATGGAAAGCTCCTGCCTAGAAAAGGTCATTTAAACCCCGCTCTGTTGCCCAACTTGCATAACAGCCCCCCTTCACAGCAGCTCAGGCAGGAGCTGGTGGAGCTTTTTCTCCCTTCCACAGCACTGCTTGCATTTCCAGGCAGAAAGGAATCCCCTTTCCAAGGCCCTGCTGATTTACCAGAAGTATCAACAACCTCCTGGTCAGACCCACGGATCTTAAGGTCAACAGTACCATCTTCATATGGATGCATTTGCCCTCTACAGCACTACCTCAGGTTCAAAAGCATTTTGCACTAAAGCTGGAAACTCTGGGTTCTGCTCAAGTCATCTTCAGAGCTCCCCTATTCAGATTTAGCACTGAAACCAACTTCTAAAGCAGGCACAACTCAAACAACAGCCCCTCTGCACATCTTGACAGTTTCTGGAGTAAACACCCAGCTCTCCGAACAGGGAGCTTTCTCCAGGGTTGTTGAAGGGGAACGTATGCAGTAATGGGTATGAGCTTGCTACAGCTGGGTAGAAAGAAGCTACTGTCTACCACAACTGGAACAGGTTATGTCATTGCTTCAAGGAAGATCGTGTAAGAAGCAGTGCGATGGGACAGTAGTTGAACTACCAGCAGCACAGCAGTTCAGAGTTTATTAGTCTCATGCAAGCTTCATCCACAGCAGAGAGTTCAGAAAGTACCAGCTGTCTTGACTCAGTACTGATGTTGGTTTCCAATACAAGAAACTTGAAGGAACTTT